GGTGGATTGTTGGGTGGAGGTGGCAGTGGTGGTGGGTTGTTGGGTGGCAGTGGTGGTGGTGGTCTCTTGGGTGGTGGTCTCTTGGGCGGTGGCCGACACCATTACAATGACTACAGACGCGTTGAATTCCCCCGAGGTGTTGGTGGCGTTCCCTACAACGACTTTCATGTCCGAGAGCCACCCCCAAAATATACCAATGGCAAGCAGCTTGGTGGTAATTACAAGTATGGTCAAATCGACACCAACGACAACACTGCTCAGCTGGGGGGCAAATACCGATATGGGGAGATCCTTGAGTCGGACGGAAGCATCAGGGACCTCCGAAAGGATGACTACCGCAATACCGAGAATGGATATGGTGCCCATTGGGGCCACGGGCGGTTTAGGTCAGCAGAAGGCGCACCAACTGTGGGCAGGCTTCACCGACGAGAACTGCGGCCTGGAGAAATCCCTCCCGGTGTGGCCACTGGGGCTCTGGGCCCAGGTGGGCTGCTGGGCAACGGAGGCATGCTGGCAGCTGACGGCATCCTGGCAGGCCAAGGTGGTCTACTCGGCGGCGGAGGTCTCCTTGGTGACGGAGGGCTTCTTGGAGGAGGGGGCGTCCTGGGCGTGCTTGGCGAGGGCGGCATTCTCAGCACCGTGCAGGGGATCACCGGGTAAGAAGGGTCTGATGCTCACCCTCAAAGCCCTGGGCTGAGGGAGGGGAGGTGTTCAGCACCCATACACTCAGGGTGTGGGTCCCAAGTTCTGTGGTTTAGGGTCTTGTGTGAAGTTGAAACATTCTGAGTCTAGTCCCAACTCAACTTTTTATATTTTTGTATAACTTTAGTCATTTCTATCTTTCTGAGTCTTAGTTCCCTCATTTGTAGCATGATCACAGTAATGTAGCTTAAATGGAAAAAGCCCAAGCATATAAAATGACGTGTATCATTTCAACTGTGTCAGCTCTTAATTGAACAAATATTGAGAGTCTCCACTCTGCGTGTGTTGGCACTGATGACATGTTACTTCTCCTGTGTCCTGCCAGACTGGCAGGTTGGGGAGGTACATGGGCATTGATAAAGAAGTCTGTAAATAATCATACAGTTGCAACAAGAGAAGTTCATGGGGTTGATGAGAATGTGTGTCTGGGGAGGTCACTTACCTTAGGAGATCAGGGGAGGCTTCCTGGAAGAAGAGGAACTTGAGCTGAAATCAGAAGAACATGCAGGAGAGAGCCAGGCAAAGAAGGACAGGGGCAGGCAGAAGGAATGACATCTTTCCATGACAAAGAGCTTCTAAGGAATTCTACAGAAATGTGAATGGTGATCCCTCCGCAGTGGGATTCAGATGGAGAGACAATTTTTGCCTTTAACTTTTCGTTTCCCAAGTGCTGTCCATGAACCTTGGGTCTCCCTAGCGTCAGGAGGAATAAATGTGGAGCAGAGGGGCTGTTGTGTGAGGGAGGGCACTACTCAGCACTTTCTCTGCCTCTATCTGTGCAGGCTCCGGATTATGGAGTTGACCCTTCCTCGGGTATCTGTACGACTGCTGCCTGGTGTGGGCGTCTACGTGAGCTTGTACACCCGTGTGGCCATCAGTGGGAAAAGGTGTGTGTGTCTTTGGCCTTGGGAGGACACCTACCACCTCATGTCCTTGCCAGGAGGGCTTGGGCAAGTTGTCTTCCCTCTCTACACCTCAGTCTCTTGATTTATAAAACAGGGATTCACAAGGCATGCGTTGCCAGCTCATGGCTTATGCATTGGAGCCAAGGTCATCTCAGTGTCCCTGTTGGCAGTAGAGCAACTTACAGCAGCGGTTAAGAGCTGGGAGGCTAGAGTCAGGTGACAGCTATGTCCAAACCTTGACAATCTCACTTATAAGCTATATGACCTTGGGCTCATTTCAATGTCACTGAGTCCTAGCGCCTTCATGTGCAACAGGAATAATAAAAGCATCCCCCTTCCAGGAGACTGTGGCCAGAAGTGAGGGAAGGCAAGCAAAATGCCTCTCTGAATTGTTGTTAAGTACCATCGAGTTGGTCCCGATCCATAGTGACCCTGTATAGGGTTTCCAAGGAGCAGCTGGTGATCTTGAACCACCGACCTTTCCTGCAAGTTGAGTCTAGCCCATAGCGTTTCCAAGGTTGTTAACCTTAACAGAAGCAGACAGCCACATTTTTCTCCCACTGAGCAACTGGTGACCTTTAGGTTAGCAGCTGAGTGTTTAACCACTGTGATAACAGGGTTCCTTCTTAATTAGGGGACTTCTTTCTGAGTGAGGTCCATTGGATTAGGTCATGCCTACAAAGCTAGGAGAACAAGAATTTATACATAGAGTACATTTATTATGATTGACTTTAGGGATCAAAGAAGTAGTTTGGGATCCTTAAAGAAGAGCAGGGTGCACAATTGATGGAGGGGAGCAAGGACAAAAACCTGAGTTGGGGAGGACCTGGGCTGGCCAGGAGAAGGTGAACTGCCTGCTATTTGGGTGTGACTCATTGTTTCCCTGACCCCTTGGTCTCATCTAGTCTTATTGGCTTCCTGGACATTGCGGTGGAGGTGAACATCACAGCCAAGGTTCGGCTGACCATGGACCGCACCGGTTACCCTCGATTGGTCATAGAGCGATGTGACACCCTCTTGGGGGGCATCAAAGTTAAGCTGCTGAGAGGGTGAGTTCCTTGGGGGATGGCAGAAAACTCTGTCTTTGGCAAACAAAATGGTACCACCCAACTATCTCTGGGCACTGGGGTGGGCAGAGCAGGGATTCTGCAGGAATAGTAGGGACTCGTCTGGAGACACCCAGACCCTCACCTCTAGCCCTAGTCTAGTTCTTCCATGACCTGGCTCTACGAGTTGTGCCTCCAAACCTGGAGAACAGTCTAATGACATACACCTGCAGCCCCGCAATCTTGATTCGTGATGATTAAGAATACAGGTTCTAGAAGTTGACTTGGGTGCAAATCCTGGCTGTGATATGGGGGTAATTTTTCTCCACCTGAGGATTGTGAGAATGAATATAAAACACTTGGTGTCAATTATGGCCCATTTTAAGAGCTTATACATATGCATCTAATAGGATGAGTGTGTCCATTGGTCCCCAACGCATGAGGATGTCTCCTTAGTGTTTCTGCTCAATTCCATCTGGGTCAGAGGGTGAACTTTTTCTACTACACCTACCCCACAAAGTGACCAAGTTCCCACCCTCTGTTCAGAAAGACAGAGGGTGGGAACTTTCAAGTGTCCCTTTGTTAATTAGCTTGGGTTTCAAGTGTCCCTTTATTAATTAGCTTTGGACAAATAGCACACTCTGTCCCCGGCTAGCAATCTTGGACAAGTGCACACTCAGAACAGCTGGGAACTGAGCGCTTTTCTCTTCACTCCACGATCCTCCTCACGGGAGATCCTTCTTTGGTCTTTGTCTTGAGGCCTCTGGCCTCCCATTCCTCTTCCTGTTTTACTAATCCCTTAGCCCAATCCACACAGCACTCATCTCATCTAGACTTTGGGAGCAGAAAAACATACTGTACAACTTGATCCCAAATCTTTCGGATCCATATCAGACCTCTTTGAGTCTTTGTTTCTGGTCCAAGATGGGTGGAGACAGGGAGAATTGGCCCCTGAGTCTGCAGTGAAGAGAATGAGGCGGACAGAAGCACCCTGAAATCTCACAAATTTTGAAGTCTACACTTTCATTAGGAGATACATTTGGTTATACATGGTTCAACAATCTAAAATGATGAAAAGAACCAGTCTGCCATCTGCCCCCATCCTTCCAAATTCACCATGGATATTCCTTTCTTGAGTCTCCTCTTCCAGGTTCTTTATACAAATGCAAGAAACACGAAGTACAGACTCTCATTCTGTAGCTTCATCTGTCATACAAATGGGTGTCTACGATATATAGACAGTTTCACCCTTTGCTTATTTCATTTACTCCATTTAAAGAGTTTTTTGTATTCAGACAGCAACACATTATTTCATTATCTGTATGAAATACCTTGTATCTGCCTAGGCTCCTACTGTTGGACATTTCAATTTGTCTAATCATTTGCTCTGACTAATAAGGCTACAATGAATCACCTCTTACATACATCACTGCATACGTGGGATGATGTGTTTATTGGATAGTTTTCCAGAAGGAGAAAACACTGTATGCCTTGAATACACATGACTGAACTGCAAACTTTTCCTCTAACACACACACACATGCACGTGTATATACATATATACAGACTCATGTGTTTTCAAGGGTCTTATCATCCAAGGAAGGAGCTCTGGTAGCGTACTGGTTACAAGTTAGACTGCTAATCTTATGGTCAGCGGTTCGAGACTAGCAGGGGTTCCACGGGAAAAGATGAGGCTTTCTGCTTCAGTAAAGATTTACAGCCTCGGAAGCTCTATACAGGGTTGCTATGAGTCAGAACCGACTCCATAGCACATAACCACCACCACTACCACCATCATCCAAGGGGAAGTGGACTCCAAGGAGAAGAGAACTCACCCCAACAGGTGAATCCCCTTAAACGGGAGACCAAAATGCTTAGCAAGCTTTGGAGGAATTGTTCTAATTAGGAGTTTATCTCCAGAAATTCTTTGCTTTGTCAGACTGGCACAACATTTGGACAGTCAGTTATACCCTCGGCAGGAGGGGACAGGCAGTGCTCAGTGGAAATAAGGTGAGGACCAATTTTTAGGAATCAAGTTGTTAGTGATCCTTCCTGCTTTGCTTCATTTGCTCAACACCATTAGTGACTGCTCCGGACCATGCTTCTCCCATTCTCCATCACTGTAGCGTCTCTGATTACATGTCCATCTGTGCATTTTCTTCAGCCATGAACCACTTACTTCTGCCCTTAACTGACTGGCTATGTTGCTGTTGTTAAGTGTCATTAAGTCAGTTCCGACTCATAGTGACCCTGTGCTGGGTTTACAAAGAGCAGCTGGTGAGTTTGAACCACCGACCTTGTGGTTCAAACTGACCTTTAGGTCCACTGTTTTACCTTGCAGTTAAGAGTTGAGTGATGTACTAAGAGCTTGCCCTGGGCCACTTCTCTGGACCTCAGTTTCCTTGTCTGAAAATGAGTCACATCTCCTATTCCTTTTAACACCAACAACTAGTCCTATCTTCTGACCACATGATGATGTCATTGGCCAGTGGTCCTCCTTCCTCCCCTTTCACGGTCATTTATTGAATACTGACAATGTACCAAAACCTATGCCAGATGCTTGCATCAACTAATACATTCATTTTCCCACTTGGAAAGTGATGCAAAGCTTCAGTGAACAGGGTCAGATGAGCAGGAGGGAGCCAGCGTTGACACAACATTAAAATTCAGAAACATCACAGCCTGGGCCATTGTAGATCTCAAAAAGCATTTGTTTGTTGAATGAATGAATGAAAAGCCAAATAATTTGCCTGGGTAGCCTGTCCATTTGCTCCCGAGTCCTTCCAGCTTTCAGAACAATGCTCCCCAAGGTTCTCAATGGACTAGTGACCCTCCAGAGTGGACAAGCTTGACAAGCCTCTCTGCGGGTGTGAACTTTGTCCTCATTCTGCTCCTCTCTCCTTAGCCTTCTCCCCAACCTCGTGGATAACTTAGTGAACAGAGTCCTGGCCAACGTCCTCCCTGATCTGGTAAGAATCTATCCCGGGATAGAGAGCAAGGAACTCAGATTTCTCCCTGTTCAAGGGGCCACTGTCCAGCCCTTTCCCAGGGGCATGAGGTGACCCAGTGAGATGGAGGGAGCCAAGGGTTTGGGGGCATCCTTTTGGAGCCTGGACAGGACCCTGAGGATGGTGGAGGGGCAGATTAATAAACGCATGAGGAATTGGAGCTGGAGAACTACACCATTCTGGTTTCAATCCCAGCTCAGGCACTTCATAACTATATGGTGGTGGTAGTGGTCATAGAGTGCCATGGAGTCGGTTCCGATTCATAGCGACCCTGTATAGGGTTTCTGAGGCTGTAAATCTTTACGGGGGCAGGAAGCCTCATCTTTCTCCCATGGAAGAGCTGATAGTTTCGAACTGCTGACTGTGAGGTTAGCAGCCAGACTCGTAACCACTACGCTACCAGAGCTATAGGGCAAGTCTTAATCTATTTCACTATCCTGTAAAATGAGAATGATACTAGAACCTTCCTTGTAATGTACATAGCATACAGCAGTCTGTAAATGTCTTTCTTACCATGACTGGTATTACTGGTGCACCCCCTTCTTTGGCCCTCAGTTCATCAGTGGAACTTACTTCATGGCTCTTTCTCCCCTACAGCTCTGCCCCATTGTGGATGTGGTGCTGGGTCTTGTCAACGATCAGCTGGGTCTTGTGGATTGTAAGTCTTTGGTTTACTTAATTTAGCCAACATTATTGGGCCCAGCCCTAGGGAAGGCCCTAGGGACCTAGAGATGTCTGGAGGATGCAGTGTGAGAGGTGGCAGAGCCACCATCAGGCCCTTGCCATGTGGTGTGGTGCCTGAGAGAGGGGCCACCTGGCCGTTCCTCTTTACCTCAACCATCTCCAGCCCCCTCCAAGTTCCACCTGGGCCTGTGAGGCTACAACACTGGATGGGAGTCAGGAGGCTGAACTGGAGCCCTGGCCCTGTTCAGCAGTCAGCTGGACTTGGACAGACTCTTCCCAGTTTCTTCATCTCTGAAATGAAGGCTCTGGCTTCAAACAACAGAGGAACTGGGACAATGAATAACAGGAAGCACTATGCAAACGGTACAGCTCCTCTGTCCTCGGCATCAGGGATGAAACCAGGCCACTTTCTGGGCCTCTGGGTTCATTCAAGGGATGCTCCAATGGTTGTGTAGTCTGTACACTGCACAATTCTGGGGACCCTTTAAAACTAACCTAGCTGCAATGGCAGCATCTCCAGTTGTGTAGTGCACATACAGGGCAGTCCGCTCTGATAGTGCGACACACAGCTTCAGGATGGCTGACCAGGGATGAGGAAAAAATAGCCTAGAGGTGTGACTCTGCATCAGTAAGCAGGCAGAGAAGTGCCAGCTTCAACTAAGCGTCATGTTGTGGAACCCTAACCCTTCCCCCGCTGGTGCACATTACTTTGCAGTTTACAAGGTGAATCACTATTCAGGATCCCATTGACCCTCCTCCATGTAGTCCAAGGTGTTATATTAAACTCCATTCACAGAGGAGGAAACTGAAGTCCAGAGATGTGCAGTGATTTGCCTGAGTTCTCACAGAAAAGAGGCAGAGCTCTATTTTTCCCACAGAGCGGAATCTGGAGTCGCAGTTGCAGGGCACAAAAAGGGAAGGCATCTATTTACATGGGTCAGGGGGACCTCCCGTGACATTCTTTTTTTTTTTTTTTTAATTTAAGGTTTTTATTGTGGATTGAGTGAAAGTTTACAGGGCACATCATCAGTTTCACATTCAACAGTTCATATAACTTGTT